AATATGTGGGTAAAAACTGTGACGAACTGAGATACAAATGAAGTGGAAACAAGAAATGCGTAAAGTGAAAAGAAGGAAATCAAACTAAGAAATAATATTGTTAAAGCGCGTGCTGTTTAATGTTGGTTTTTTAGATTTATAAATAATTTTCTTGATATATGGCAGCTTGCTTCAATTAACATAAGCGCGCCGATAAAAACCTGGAAATAATTTCAATTAGGGGCTGAGTCAATTTACGTCCCAGCGCCGGTTCAATTGATGTGAGGCTCGCAAACTGTTTATTCATTTTTTGTTATATTTTTTCATTTTTGGTTTTCATATTTCGATTTGTGGACAGGTAAGGGAGTGGAGGAGTAGGAGTTGTGTTAATTAACTTGTTGGTAGACAAATATTCAGTTCGTATAAATATTATTGTACAGCAAAACAATAAAGATTATCTCTTTTTATTATTATTATTTTTTTAAATTTCTTTTTTGAAAACTAATAAAAATCGCGGCACTACAAATACTCACCAGCTTGATAATTTTAATTAGCATCCAATTGTTGGTCGACGTGGTCATTAGTTTAAAGAACACCGGCGCCAAGGGCAGATAGTTCTTTGGATTCTTGCGCGCCAGCTCACAAATGACATTGACAGCAGCAGATTGTACACCTGGCAAAATAATATAATCGTTACTCTAGTAGCTATATATATATGTAGGGGTGCGGCTGGAAAGCACCTGGATCTGGATCCTCGAGTTTCTCTTTCAGCTTGGGAAACGCGGGCCGCAATGCTTCGGGATAGCGCAAAAATACCTTATACATCATCAGCACAGCCTTCATGCGCAGGTACGGTTTCGTTGAGCTCATCTGCAATGACAAAATAATTGATACAAATCGAGCTGCTCTTTCGGATTTATACACTCTACCAGTGTCATGATATCATTGGCCAGATCTCGCGATAAGTCGGGCGATATGAAACAGCTGAGCCCGCTTAAAGCTACGCCCGCATCGTATTGATTCTGTGAATTGAGGTCCTTGCGTATCATATTCGTGGTAAGCATCAGCAGCTGAAATTGCATTAAGTTAGTATTTGCACTAGACATCTCATTCGGATGGCACTTACTTCGCTGTCCGGATGGAAGCATTGACTAGCCGCCAGGTAACCGATTCGCTTGCATGTGAAGCGCGAGGAGCTCATCACCTCAATTATGTTAAAGCCTGCCCACGAAATGTCGTAGCCGAGCATTTGTATCTAATCATATAAAAATATGTAAATATAAAAAATCAATAAAGAGTATATTTGCATACGTATCCAGCCAAGAAAATATGCATTTTGTGCCCAACTAACACGAATTTGACTTGGCTGTCAATTTAGACTCTAACGAGGACTAAAACAGATTGAGCACTGGTTTATTTTATCTTTTTATATATAAATGGGATTATTCTTAAGAAATATGCGAATAAAGTTTAAGCGCTTATCTTGGCTTCGCTTTGGAATTTCAGTTGCTCCTTCTATTTTTGTTGACATTTTCTTGCCTGTGTTAAGAACGAACTTACATAGGTTAACTTGGCCACTGCATTGCACTTGACGTTGATATTGTCCTGACGCAGCTCCTGTTTGATCTCCTCAATGCATTGAGCTATGTATTTGGCCTGAAAAATAAGAAAATGTAATTAGTAATGAAATGTAAGCGTGTGAGTGTTAAATGCAATAACAATTCAAAGCATGTCTAATCATATTGAGCTTTCATGGGCAATCTACATGACCCAAGCCGATAGGCGAACCGAATCAGAGGGGAAAAAGAACAAAAATTAACCTGAATCCGATGCATCCCAATTGTGCAGGGAGGGGTAAAAGGCGAAATGTCTTGTGCTATCAACTAAACTAAATACAATTGCAATTTTTGCAAGTGTGTACATATACATGTACATTGGCGCGTACAGAAATCAGCGATTATTTTGCCGAAGCAGCTGAAAATAAAAAATTTCTGTTGCTGGAGAATGGGAACAGAAGAAGCATGTATTATTCAGATAATTATTAAAATTATTTAGCCAACCAGATTTTATATACATATGTACAAATACGGCGACAGCAGGTGAACAATGTGCTGTGAGGCAATAGAATAAGATGTCTTTGATTCGATAAGGAAACGTAAGCTCAAAGACGTTAAGAAAGTTCGGCTTCACAGTGACAGCGTTTTCATTGGCTGTGAGTGCGAGGTGCTGGTATGCCTGTGTGTGTGTGTGTGTGTGTGTGTGTGTGTGTGAGCTGCCGCATCAAGGAAATGAACTGAAAGACATTAAGAGCAGACGATATGAAGAGAGAGACAGAGAGAGTGGGAGAGGCGAAATACCGCTAATTGAGTCAAGCTTTGAGCCTTTGGCAGATGTTGACGGAGACATATATGCAGACACACACACATGCACATCTATGCTAATGGAAATGAAATTTGACAGCTAATTAAATCGTTGTGTTGGCTCATGATAAGCACAAAAACAACTATTTGGCGTTGCGGCACTTGCCTCATTATCCTTATTATTTCGTATTCCGCGCACAAGGTCTGTCAAGTTTTTATCAAACATTCGTTCGAAATTTCCCTTCACTTTTTTTAACGCCATTTCGTCGACGTCGACGTCGCGGTAGTTGCTGCGTGCGCTGCTTTTGCTGCTTTCGTTGTTGTTGTTATTTTGTTTGCCTCCAGAGCAGCAATATGTTGGCTTCAAATTTGTAATTTAGCAACTCAACAATAAAAAAAAGGATCAAGAGACAGTGGACTTAATACGCTTGAGCAGCCGGTAGCGTTAGCCTTTATCTTTTCATTCGTTCTTCTCCTCTTGGTTTTTTGCTTCAGCACTTGCAAAAATCACTGCCAACGCGAAGTGCACACCAAACTCTCTGCGAATCCAAAGTGTTGACACCTTTTGCTTCTGATAAGCTGCTGAAATTGCTTATTTGTTTTACCGATTTAAACGTTTAATTATTTTTGACAAGCAAGTTTCCTCCGCTTGCATTCTTGTATGTTATTTCCTGCAATTGATTTTTTATCGCTCTTTAACAAGTTTGTTGTGCTATTTGTTTATCGCCCCACAAAAATATTAGTTTGCTGCCGATATCATACGTACTATCGATAAGCAGAAGTTCTGATTCTCCATCGATAGTATTTCAGGTATACACGGTCGTACTGATTTATTAGCTTGTATTCGATTATGCCGCCAATATTTGAAATGACAGAAAGAACCAAAATATTTGTTCACATATGAAAGCTGCAATTAATAAAGTTTGCGAATACCATTTTAAAATGCATAACCATTTATTTAGAATTTGTGCAGTATCTTAACAGTTAAAATCGTTTCAATTAATTCAATCACATACTTCATTTTATATGGCATTGCTCTAAAATTTGATTAGTTTTTTTTTATGTTTTCGTATTATGTATATAGATAGTTAACAAACCAGTACAATAGCATTAACAATTTATATCAGATATAAAAAGAAAAATGCTAATCTCTTCGTTAATTAATTTGACGCAGGCGACATTGTTGGAAGTGCATATAAAACTGGCCACAATACAGGCGCAGAAATTTTCAACGTAATACAATATAAGTTTGCAATTTATAACACATTTGGCACAGCAAGCAATCTTGAAAAGAAATAAAGAAAAATAAAACTGCATGTAATTTCCTTACCAAAATAGGACTTAAGGCTTGAGTAAGTATATGAATACTTTTGTGGAGATACTTTGGCAATATTAAATTTTTGTTTTTTGAAGATCCAGGTAGCTAGCGTGTAGTAGTTAAATATTTGAATTTATGTAATAAAATTTTAATGAAAATAACTACGATCTACAGGACATCGCAACAATTTGAGGCCAAGATATTCAAACGTGATCGTCGAGTTAAAACATTTGCTTCCTCATATGAGAAAGTATTCAAGCAATTGTTGTTGTTGGCACTGGATTGACGTGTTCGCGGATTGTTTATTTGTTAGTCCCATGTTAATGACACATTTCCCTGACGGCCGAATTGTGGAGTTGGTTGTGGATACATGCTGTAGCGCCCACCCATATGGCTTTTGGAATAGCCATATACATTGCTCATGCGCCAATGCTCGAAGGTTAACGGCTTGCTCAGGTTTGTGTCCCGTTTCTTGTAATATTCGTTGAAGTCCAGACGAGTGCCAAAGAGCTGTAGATTGTGATCATCGCTAGAATTAAGGGCTAGCAAAAATCCACCTACTGCCTTGGCGTAGGAGCCGGCGAAGCCTTCAAGTGTCCGACAGCATGTTAATATCTTTTGTTCGAATATCTTGCGCTCCTGATCGCGTTCCATTTTTTGTTCCGTGGTCACACCGAAGCGCCCGGTCCCTTCTGATTCAGCGATTGCTCTTTGCATTTTTTCGCGTGCCTCCAATTCTGCGAAACATTCTTTGTAAAAATTTTCCTGCCAATTTTCTAACGAAATTATATTTTCATAAACGACTTCCAGATGACTTTCCATATTCGTCGAGGTGTTCACAAAGCACCCAACGCTGATTGCTTGCAAGAACTTGGAGTGCGCATCGAGTATATCATCCAAAGCCTTCGCCTGCTGCATCCGCTTCTGCAGCTCCACCCAATTACACTCGATAACCTCAAAGAGCACATAGTATTGCATTTGATGAACGAAATGCATAATTTCAGATGTGAACAAGTGCAATCTGTAGGTGGCTTTGGAAATCTCATCGTGTAACGAGCGCAGTGCCTGAAAAATATGTAATGCATTTTTACTATAATAGAATATCACATACAAAAGTTAATAAAAACCTAATGAGCAAAGAGAGAATTACACTTAGATCTGTATCAGTTCTAAAGTCATTAGTACATCTGAAACTTTGTAGTTGTATATTTTAACTGTAATTCCGTAAACAAGTGTATAAATAATTTTTATTTAAACTAGACCCCGGATATCGATATTGCTATCGATAATACTCACAGCATGTGAAGCAAAACTGAACCGAATAATCGCAGCGTTTTTATCAGTTGTTTACATACATATGTGATTAAAAAGCTGCGACTGTGTCTTATTTGATTCGCTACTCTCCAATGGCTTTGTCAATTTTCAAGGACTTGCCAGCCGAGCACCCACGTCACTTAATACCAGCACTATGTGCGCAATTCTACCATCTTGGCTGGGTCACCGGCACTGGCGGCGGCATGAGCATTAAATACAAGCAAGTCCAACTATGAATATGTATATCGAAGATAACTCTTGAACGACTTTTGAAATAGCAATGAAATTTATATCGCACCATCGGGTGTACAGAAGGAGCGCATGCAGCCAGAGGATTTGTTCGTGCAGGACATAGATGGCAAGGACTTGCAATTGCCGCCAGAGATCAAGGGCCTAAAGAAGAGCCAATGCACGCCTCTCTTTATGCTGGCGTACAGGCATCGTAATGCCGCCGCCGTCATTCACACACATTCCCAGCACGCGGTCATGGCTACGCTGCTCTGGCCAGGCAAGACGTTTCGTTGCACACATTTGGAAATGATTAAGGTGCCCGAATTACCACTAGATCAAGTGCCAGTGCCATGCTATTTTCATATTGCTGTACTTAGCTATTGTTATCTCTTTTTAGGGCGTCTACGATGACGCTGATAAGCGATATCTTCGTTATGACGAACAGCTGGTCGTGCCCATCATCGAGAATACTCCTCACGAACGAGACTTGGCCGACAGCATGTATGCTGCCATGATGGAATATCCCGGATGTAGTGCCGTACTTGTGCGCCGTCACGGCGTCTACGTATGGGGTCAGACTTGGGAAAAGGCCAAGACTATGTGAGTAAAAAACTGGTTGATTTTATCATGTATTATCTCTATACATGTACATTTCTTCAGGTCGGAGTGCTATGACTATCTATTCTCCATTGCTGTACAGATGAAAACGGCCGGACTTGATCCGGAGAAGTTTGAGATCGCATAGTATACCTACTAAAAAGCTTTAATCAAAATTGAAAGTTATTATGCAGTATACAATAAATTTTATAAATACTGATTATATAGTATATATTCACTGATTGCTGCTATATTTAAGCTTATATATATGTATAAGTATAATTGCGAATCCCATAGTTTATTGAAAGAAATGGTTTACCGCAGCAAACCGAAATCCATTAATCTCCAACACTTATCTATATAGTATTTATGATCTTCAAATTGATGGCGCACTTTGTACCACTGCTGCCAATTCAGCTTTTTTCCCGTCAAATCTGGCTTTTTCCGAAGACA